GTTGCTCATGTTGTTCAGCCGGGATTTCTTCATCTGAGAGATCCAAATCAACAGTAGTCCTGAAATTTTCCTGATACATCCATGTGCCAGTGATCTTGTAGATGCCCATCTTGTGAATCAAATACTTATCTAGTTGATGGTCATGCATGTTGGCCAGTTTAATTTCAACATCCGAGGTGTTAATCTCCATATGATCAATAATCCTCGAGATGAAAATTCCGTAGGCAAGTAATGTGGAAGATGATGAAGCAATCTCAGACATAACTCTCAGAATTTCTACAGGCCAGTTTACTAGAATTTCGTGTTTGATGGCAAACATCATCTTCAAATCAATTGTTGTTGGTTGCGCATGATTTGTGTTTCGCTGAACTAACATATAAGCAATTATATAGTGTAGAAGACGGTTTTCAACCGTAAGAGACCCAACTTTTGTTAAACCTCCTGGTGTCACTGAAACTGTGTCCCTTAAACATGACATGTACGTGGCTAAAGCCTCAAACTCGTCCCATTGCTCATTTTCACAATTACCTAAAGGTTCACCAGAGCTACTTAAACCACCAACAGCTAAAAATAGTTCCTCATCTAGCACAATCAATTTACCCTTTACTTTGGTTATATACCTACCATTTTTGTATACGAAGTTGCCGTAGAATTCACGAATTAATGAAGGATAAAATTTACCGTGCAGTTCAATGAAGGTATTTGTGCCTTGAACTTCCAGCTCATGAGGAAACTGGAAACCTTGATCCACCAACCACGACACTTCGGCATAATGAACATATGCAAGTTTTCTACCATGAAAGCGAGACAACCTTGTTGCCTATAATTCAGGGGCGAAGAAAGGATCCCTTTTCTTAGTGGTTCTTCCTGGAGTTGCAGATGAAGGACCACCTTCTTCTTAAATATGATAAAGACGTTTTGTAGTGGTTTTCATTCGTCTAGGGCGATTTTCAGCGATGAGTGTGGATGCAGTGGTTTTTGCAGAGATGGGGTTAGGGTTAGGATTTAAGAGAGACAATAGACCCTTATAATGTTATAAGCGGGCAATGAGGACAAGAATGCGAGTGAAAGGAACTTACTTTGAGTGTACAACCAGAGGTGCAAGAGAGATTTGGTCCAGAAACACGGATTCACGAGAGAGGAATGAGTAGTGACGGTTCAAAATGCCTTATCTGTCATATAGTGTCATCGATAATCGATTAAATGGATTCTTAATCGATTAACAATGTTTAAATTTTCAAAAAAATTGAATTTTGAAGCCCAGGTAATCGATTAAGTATAAACTTTAATCGATTATTTATACAAACAGAAACTTTTCAAAAATAAGTTTGGGCCCAGGTAATCGATTAAATTCAACCATAATCGATTATTCAGACAGAATTTTGACATTTCCAGCATTTTGAGTGTGACGCAGTGTGGCAACTAGACACTATATAGACTTGGATGACTCCCCAGAAAATAAATACACAGTTATTGAAACATACATGAAAAACAATACATAATAAGAACATTTTCATTCACAACATTATAATCACATAAGCACATAAGCACATATTTAGATCATGCAAGGTGTAGGTTTCTAAAAGGCAACCAAAACAAATTAGTGTAGATAACTTTCATCAAGGATCCCTAACTCTCTACGTAGAGTATAGAAAGTGTCCCTTGGCAGGGGTTTGGTGAAAATATCGGATAAATTGTTTGGAAGTTTCAACAAATTCAATCACACAATCACCTTTTTGCACATGATCTCGAAGAAAATGATGTGTAATTTCTATATGCTTTGTTCGTGAATGCAAGACGAGATTCTTTGATAGGTTGATGGAACTAGTATTATCACACTTGATGGGAATCCGATCAAGCTTTAGATCGTAGTCTAACAGTTGCTGCTTCATTGAGAGGATTTGAGCACAACACACCCCTACAACAATATATTCTGCTTCAACAGTAGATAAAGCAATGCATGCTTGCTTTTTACTATGCCACGACACAAGTAAATAACCAATCAAGTGTCATGTTCCACTTGTACTCTTATGATCTGTCGCGACCCGATTTTCGGTTGGAAGACCGGCCCTGCGACTTTGGGAGAGGCAGACTCGATTTCTACCTCTTCCAATTGATTTGGAGTCGCCACTACGTTTTTTGCGGTTAAAACGTAGAAAAATCTAAACATGCCCAATTAGGATAACTTGGTCTTTAATCAGAGATTCTGAGCTCGGGAGTCGATTACGGATCGGGGAAGGTATTAGCACCCCGTCCGCCCGTATTAAAACGGTACCCTCGCTAATAACATGGACTTTTATACCCTTAAAATTATTTATTAAAATTCAGTAAATAAAAACAAAATGTTTTATTTTTTATTATTGTGCCTGACAAGAATTCAACTTGCTCATACGTATCCCTAGCTACAATAGGGAAATCAAGGCTACGTAGTTCTGGTTCGAAAATTAATTGGTTGATTTCGTTGATTTGAAGGTATCGATTTGGTTGAGTGATAGAATAAGTTTTTACTAAAACATTTTTGATATGGACTTAACAGTTTAGAGACGGCACTGGTCGTAGACCTCCTTCCCATTTTCAGAGAATTTAGAGACGACACGGGCCATAACCTTACTATAAAAAATTCCATTTTAAATCATTTGATTAAATTTATTTAACATATTGGATATGGAATTAATAGTTTAGAGACGACACTGGTCGTAGACCTCCTTCTCATTTTCAGAGAATTTAGAGACAACACAGGTCATAACCTTGCTATAAATTCCATTTAAAATTACTTGAATAAACAATGATTTTTTTTGAAATATTTGATATGGAATTAATAGTTTAGAGACGACACTAGTCGTAGACCTCATTCTCATTTTTAGAGAATTCAGAGACAACACGGGTCATAACCTTACTATAAAACTCCATTTAAAAACCTTTGAATAAATGATGATTGTTTTTGAAATATTTGATATGGAATTAATAGTTTAGAGACGACACTGGTCGTAGACCTCATTCTCATTTTTAGAGAATTCAGAGACAACACGGGTCATAACCTTACTATAAAACTCCATTTAAAATTACTTGAATAAATGATGATTGTTTTTGAAATATTTTTCTAAAAAATAAATAATATTCGAATGCCTCTTATACCAACCTTGTATCATTATTACTCTAATAAGTTAAGTGACATAAAAACAACAAAAACAAAAATGACTCTTAAGACAAAAAACAAAAAAAACAAAGCAATAGTAAATATAAAAATAAAAAGAATAAATGTGGGCCGAAGGCCCATATTGGGGAAAACGAAATTGAGAGGGGGAGGGGTCAGAGTTGGCTTCATTTGTGCTTTAGGGATTTTGAGGAGAGAAGTGAGAAGACGGAGGAAGAGAGAAGACGAAGGAGAAGTGAGAAGACGAAGGAGAAGTGAGTCGTGAGTTCTCTCGGGTTTCTTTCCGACAGTGGCGGAGGCGGTAGTCAAGCGTGGAGGTTGGTGAACTCGTAGGCGATTCACCGCGGTGAGAAAGTGAGAATCGAAGGTGAGAAGACAAGGGAAAACGACGAACCCTACCCCTCATCTTCTCCTTTTCTATTTCGTGACGAGTTCTCCTCTTCCAGTGGCGGCCATGAACAGCTCGAGGTGGCGACAACTTCAATTCCTTATAGCTCCTCGGCGGAACCGTTCCTTTTCCACTCCGGCAGCAGCGACGGAATCATGTAATCGATCCAACCCCCTTTCCTTGTACGTATTTGCTTAATTCTTGATAATACAAATTAGTTGTTCAATAGACATGGGTATATTCACTTAATTAAACGACTCGAATTTGTTTACAAATCCATTGACTTATCCTATACATATGAATATACGATGAGAACAGAATGAATGACGTCAATGACATGTTTATGGGTGCAATTCTGTGTTGAAAACCTTAGATAGTAATAAACTCAATTTCATATTGAACATCTTATAACTATATCACAATGTTAACCTGGACTGCCTGCTTGTTGTGATTATTATGCTTCGTTGATGAAAATGTGCTTGATGATGGTCTCTTACGCTGGCTGATGTTGATTCGTATAGATGATTACTTGCCTTAGGTATGTGTTTGACTATCTGAATAGCAATGACTGCAAAAAAAATCCTCTGTGGCTATGTGATGTGTGTAGGATATGTAAATGCCTTTTCTTTTGATAAGTTTCTCTTCGAACTGGATGTGGGAATAATAGTAATACTTATCCACCACTTGCTGACTGCTCAATCTGTTGTTGTGGCTATGTGTGTGTGGTTTTTCTTTTATAGAGCTGTAGAAACCCTTTCAATTGCTCATTGATTGCCAGAAATATCCCAGACTTTTGGCTTGCTGATTATTCTCTCAAAACTGTCCATAACTAACACTATTAATGTCTATTATGCCTAAAGTGTAACTGATTTGTCTCTTCTGAAATTCTGTTCTATGGTATGCTGGATGCCTTCTGCTCTTTTTTTTTGTTGTCTACCATTATTTTTCTTTTTAATGCTACTCCATCAATGCCTGGAAAGGTAACTACCACCTGAATATCATTCTTTGAAATCCTTTGCATTTTTCATTTGATCTTCTTTTTGTATTCCTATGGTTATCATTTAGTCTGATGCTTATTCTGCCTATCATTACTGCTTATTATTGCCTCTCTTAATGACGTGTAACAGAAAATGGGACATAATTCCTGGTTTGCAATTGTTTAATGTTCTCCTTTGAAATCCCACACTGAATACTTAGGGTTGAGTGTATTCCTTTTTCTCTTATCTCTAATTTTTACCATGATTATTGCTGCTTGTGTAACTGAAATGAAATGAGTCCAATCTGCTATGACTCATCATCAACATCTCTTTTATTGCATTTCCTTTAAAACTCTTCCCACTGTGATTCTTGGTTGATTGCTTTTAATCCTATCTTTGATATAGTTTCATAACTTTCACAATATGACAGCCAACAAAAGAAATGTCTATGATGCCTAATATATTGGTTTATTTTTGTCAGGTTATCATTGTCATCTTCCCAACCTTAATGGCTTCAACTTTCAACTCCTCTATTTCTTGGCCAACATAGCTGTAAGATCCTATCCTTCGAACTCCTCTTTATGATTTCATGCCATTCCTTCAAGTGTAATTATGAAATTTGCATTTTCTTGGTTTAATCCGGGACACTTTCTGAATGTTTCAAGATATTATAAACCTGTCTTTTTTGCATTTGAACATGTAGAACACAAACTGGATTTTGGGGGTTTTGGACTTGTTGAGTTTGGTAACTGCTCAGGTTTTTGTGGAGACTTCACGCTAAGGAACTGCAATGTGGCCACAGTGTTGACATCACTGATAATGAGTTGGCGTATTTAGAGAGCATCCATTTGTTTGTGGAAATATTGGATCACTTCTTCAGCAATGTGTGTGAACTGGATTTGGTCTTTAACTTCCACAAGGTCTATCTTATACTTGATGAATTCATTCTAGCGGGTGAACTGCAAGAAACCAGCAAGATGGCTAGCATTGAGAGAATGGGGGAACTGGAAAAATTAGAGTGAAGCATTACATTAAAACCAAATCATAGTGGTTTGAAGATTTAGATGATTTGAGTTATGCAATTCGCATAATCCTTGTAATTCAGTTGTGGTACAGAACTTTGAAAATCTTTTATCTTAATTCATGTATTCAGTACCATGTTTACATATGCTTCTTACCTGGCTTGTGTTTATATAATGATGACATTCATAAAAATCAGGTTCTTCAGTAACCTTTCTTAAAAAAAATGTGTTTTTGGTTTATGATATTTAAATAGGCCGGACAAAATTGGGTGTTCACAGCTGCCCCTCTTTACTTGTTGCTTACTTGATAGCGAACAAACTGATGTTTGTGTGTTATCGTAGTAAGTAATTAGTAAAGAAATGAACATTAATTTTGTCAAAACCCAAACAATGGATATACAGGGCTTAAGACAAATAAAATAAATTGCGAGCTCTCAGTGGCTCGAGACATACAAATAAATTGCGAGCTCTCAGTGGCTCGAGACATAAAAATAAATTTGCGAGCTCCCAGTGGCTCGAGACATAAAATAAATTGTGAGCTCTCAGTGGCTCGAGACATAAAAATAAATTGCGAGCTCTCAGTGGCTCGAGACATAAAAATAAATTGCGAGCTCTCAGTGGCTCGAGACATAAAAATAGATTTGCGAGCTCTCAGTGGCTCGAGACATAAAAATAAATTGCGAGCTCTCAGTGGCTCGAGACATAAAATAAATTGCGAGCTCTCAGTGGCTCGAGACATAAAAATAGATTTGTGAGCTCTCAGTGGCTCGAGACATAAAAATAAATTTGCGAGCTCTCAGTGGCTCGAGACATAAAAATAGATTTGCGAGCTCTCAGTGGCTCGAGACATAAAAATAAATTGCGAGCTCTCAGTGGCTCGAGACATAAAATAAATTGCGAGCTCTTAGTGGCTCGAGACATAAAAATAGATTTGCGAGCTCTCAGTGGCTCGAGACATAAAAATAGATTTGCGAGCTCTCAGTGGCTCGAGACATAAAAATAAATCGCGAGCTCTCAGTGGCTCGAGACATAAAAATAGATTTGCGAGCTCTCAGTGGCTCGAGACATAAAAATAGATTTGCGAGCTCTCAGTGGCTCGAGACATAAAAATAAATTTGCGAGCTCTCAGTGGCTCGAGACATAAAATAAATTTACGAGCTCTTAGTGGCTCGAGACATAAAAATAAATTGCGAGCTCTCAGTGGCTCGAGACATAAAAATAGATTTGCGAGCTCTCAGTGGCTCGAGACATAAAAATAAATTTGTGAGCTCTCAGTGGCTCGAGACATAAAATAAATTTACGAGCTCTTAGTGGCTCGAGACATAAAAATAAATTGCGAGCTCTCAGTGGCTCGAGACATAAAAATAGATTTGCGAGCTCTCAGTGGCTCGAGACATAAAAATAGATTTGCGAGCTCTCAGTGGCTCGAGACATAAAAATAAATTTGCGAGCTCTCAGTGGCTCGAGACATAAAAATAAATTGCGAGCTCTCAGTGGCTCGAAAGAGAAAATACAGCCTATTTAGCCGGCATTAGGCTAAGGGACCATGACGGTTGATTCTAACTGGTCTACCCTTTTACCCACTAAGGTCTAAAGTTTGTTTGTTTTTTTTCTATGAATATATGTTATGAATGAATGCATGTTATGAATGAACTAAACTGTTGGACTATGTGTATGGGATGCGTGTCAATTTGGTACTCTCCTATGAGATTCATTTTACAAAACTTTACTTTCTCGCTTTATTAAGTGTCGCAATCATTGCATTTGGTTTAAGACACCTTTACATTTTGGAATGAATAGCTGCAACTTCGGGCGATGATCTATAAGTTGCTAGCGTGTGCCATTACTTTGTTTTTTAGTCGACTATCATAAAAGGTTGTTTTATTGTTCATCAGTATGATTCACATAAACATAGTCATGCATTGAGGGAATAAGGTATGATGGGGGAGCGGAAATTTTTTTGGGAAAGCGTATATAACATCTCTTTCAATTATCTATATAAGAATGACAACACTAATTTTCATTCGTTGATTTTCAACCTGAATTTCTGATTCCTACAAAAACTTTGGCCCAGTATTTCTCCAAAGTTACTACTGATTGATGACACCACCGAGTTTTCGGCCCAAGAGTTTAAAGAATAACTGTCCAATAAACTGCCCCAGTATCTTGCTCGCCCACGTTGAAGCTCTGGCCTTACGCTCAAAAGATTTTAAGATCATTGCTAAGAATTTATTGGAGGAGAGTGTTTCATCCAATAATTTCTGCCCCAGTATCCTGTCTTGAAAACCCATATCTTTATTGATGCACTTGCATTGCCTTTTCTGATTGGGGCGACTTCCTTCTTTTTTTTTTATATATATATTCCCTAACTTTTGCTTAGGCCGCCCTTCCGGGTTTTCGAACTAACGGGTCATATTTTCTTCATTTTTTTCATTATTCGTTATGAACTTCGATGTAATGATCACTTAGTGTTGGTTTGATAGTAAGAATGCATTTAGAAATTTGTGTTTTTCGGAGTCAGTTTGCTTTTTTACCCTAGTGTGATCCCAAACGATCTATTCCTCAACAAGGACTTTTCTGGCTTGAATTGTGGCCTGACGGAATAGTTTTTTCAAGAAAATAGGTATAAAGGCTCAAAATGTGTTTCCCTTCCCCCTTCATCTCCTTTTCTCCAATATCCTACATCCAATTATTCCTCTCTTTGACTTTTACTGTTTTGCTTTTTTTTTCATTGTGAGTGAGAGTCTGGTATGTCTTCGTCCTAACTTTTGCTTAAAGCACGTCATGAGCTTTAGCGGAATTTTTCTTTGGGACTTTCTTTCATTCATGGAATTCCTAGGCTCTCACTCTCTTAGTCTATAGCTACATTTTGAGCTTTTTGAGGAATATTGGAAAGCTGCCCTTCCCTGGTTACAGATATTTTTACGGGTTCATTTAGAATGGATCTCCTTTCCTGACGTCTAGGCTCGAAAGGGGTAACTAGGGATATCTTCCATGGTGTTTGGGGATTACAAAGAAGCCTTATATCATTGGAAATAGTCCTTTGGGGTTCACACTTTATGGGAATTTTCCTACATCATTCTCCATTTTACTTTTTAAAACATGCATGAAAAATGGTGATTATGATCATTACATCGAAATTTCTAAGGAAAATGTTTTTTTTTTTTTTTTTTTATTTTTTTTTTTTTATAGGAAGTCGCCTTATGAATAGTATTTCTTCACTGCATCAGAATTTACTGAAAGACGAAGGTCTTCACCATCCATGTTGGTTAGTATGAGAGCACCACCTGAGAAAGCCTTTTTTACCACATACGGGCCTTCATAGTTAGGGGTCCATTTCCCTCGGTGATCTTTCTGTATTGGCAATATCTTCTTAAGCACCAGGTCTCCTTCCTTGAACTCTCGAGGACGTACTTTTTTGGCATGAGCCCTCATGATCCTCCTTTGGTATAGTTGGCCATGACATATAGCCGCCAACCTTTTCCCTTCGATTAAATTCAACTGGTCATATCGGGCTTGGACCCATTCTGCTTCTTTTAGCTCGGCTTCAGCCAGTACCCTCAATGAGGGAATCTCAACCTCTATCGGTAGAAATGCTTCCATCCCATAGACCAATGAGTAGGGTGTTGCCCCAGTTGATGTGCGGATCGAAGTTCGATACCCATGCAGTGCAAATGGCAACATCTCGTGCCAATCTCTATAGGTTACTACCATTTTCTGGACTATCTTTTTTATATTCTTATTGGCTGCTTCCACCGCTCCATTCATCTTGGGTCTATATGGTGAAGAAGTGTGATGCTTGATCTTGAACTCTTCACACATCTCCGTCATCATTTTGTTATTGAGGTTGGTGGCATTGTCTGTGATGATTTTCTGGGGTAACCCATAACGACAGATCAATTCCTTCTTCACAAACCGGAGCACTACCTTGCGAGTCACACTTGCATATGAGTTCGCCTCAACCCATTTGGTGAAATAATCGATAGCAACAAGGATGAATCGATGTCCATTAGAAGCTTTGGGTTCGATGGGCCCGATAACATCCATTCCCCACATTGAAAAAGGCCACGGTGCTGATAATACATTGAGCAGGTTGGGGGGTGCATTGATGTTGTCGGCGTATATCTGGCACTTGTGGCATTTACGGACGTGATCCCAACAATCCCCCTCCATCGTTAACCAAAAATATCCTGCTCTTAGGATTTTCGAGCCATCGCACGCCCATTAGCATGGGTCCCAAACATACCCTCATGTATTTCCTCAATGATCTGCTCTGCCTCTTTGGCGTCTACACACCTCAACAATACCATATCGTGGTTCTTCTTGTATAGGATATTCTCACTAAGAAAGAAACCCATGGCTAGTCTCCGCAGGGTTCTCTTGTCATTATCTGTTGCTTCTGGAGGATACTCATTGCTTTTTAAGTATGTCATTATGTCATGATACCATGGATTTCCATCTAATTCTGATTCTATTGCACAACAGTATGCTGGCTGATCTTTACTAGCTATCCGGATAACCGGTACGCTATCTCCCTCTATCTGGAACATGGATGACAAAGTGGCCAAAGCATCTGCCAACTTATTATCTTCCCTCGGGATGTGGTAGAAATCTATCCGCTCAAACTGCTCAACCAGTTGTTGAATATAGTCTCTATAGGGTATCAGCTTGTTATCTCTAGTCTCCCATTCTCCCTTAATCTGGTGAACCACTAGAGCTGAATCCCCGAACACTTCCAAAGATTTGATTTTTGTTTCTAGTGCTGCTTCCAGACCCAATGCACATGCTTCATATTCCGCTATGTTGTTTGTACAATCAAAGCACAACCTGGCGGTGAAGGGTATGAACTTGCCTTCCGGAGATATTAATACCGCTCCTATGCCATGACCCAGTATATTTGAAGCCCCATCAAATACAAGTGTCCATCCATTATCCC